TGATGTGATCACATCAACGACGAACAATCAAATTTGGCATGGTCAAACAACGCGTTGACATATTGCATCCTTAAACTGAATCAGCCATTTGGCTTTTCAGATCAGCGCACTTTAGGAAATGAGCGAGAATATTGCATTAAACATCTTTTTAACCTCTTTGCACATGTTCCCTTCTTTAACTATACCGTTCGAAGGTAGGTAAATCAAACGAACAATTTTCCTGCTTCCTATCCATTCCTGTAAGAACCAACCACACTCACTCGAGCAACCCAGTCAATCGAGCCACCTCAACGCCACAACTCAAATGAAAGTGCTCATTTGAAGTTTTCATTTGCAAACTTCATTGTTCCATAGGTTGCATGGGAAATCCAATACCAAACAGTTTTCTGCTTTCATCAAAACTTTCATCAAAACATTTTCAACTAAGGATTATTAGCATATATTCATCATCAAAACATTCAACTGCTGTCAATTAATTCTGTCGAATTATTTTTGCGTTTTAATGGCTGATGAAAGAGCTTTTCATCGTCAACGTCACACTGCTTGCAAAACAATTATGGAGCTTGCAAAAGTCGAACGTTTTTTTGGCACCCACAACGAATTAACGCATATTCTGCATTCGTCAAATTTTGCATCCATTCAAACTAGGTATGCAGAAAAGCTGACAATACGCAAATTTTGTAAGCTTGTAAGCAGTATAACAGTTCAATCCTTTATTGTTGAGCCGATATGGGTTGGGGGTTAGTCGGGTCGACGCTTCCCATTGTGGGATGGCTCGGCCTGATCTACTTATCGGCCTATTCAACGTCTGCAGGTATGGGATTTCGCAATGGAGCATCGTTTCATGAGGCTCAATACTGTTGGCGGTGGTTCTGTTCATCAGTACAATAGTGAAGCTGATTATTTGCATACGTTATGCTCTGATAATCCATTATTGCATACCGAGCGAGTATGAGTGAAAGTGTTGTTGAATATAATCTTCTTTCATCAGCAGCTCATCGTACTGTACTCGTTATTCAAATAAGATCACAAGGCAAATTTCAGATGAGCATCTATCACGACCATGTGAAGATGCTGTGAAAAATGGCACTTTCGTAAGAGAAATGATTACATTGGTACAGAACGAGTCTTTTGGTTATCTACCGGCAGTATTTTGCTACGCAGTTCTCAATGAAACCGTCGTCGAACAATATGTGCGTTCTTCTTATCCTTTCGCTTCTGCATAAGTTGATGAATGCCGTCAATTATTTTGTGGTCGTCGCATATCGCAGTCTCATATTTATTGTCGTAATGCTTGGAACTGAGAACGTTGCACACTTATGGTCGTCACTTATTAGTCGTTTCTCTTTCAGTTACAAAAGAAGATCGGCAACGCAACACATCTACTACACAGTAATATTTTTTCGATCTTTGCACCGAGAACGTTTACATAGAAGTAATCTAGAAGGTTCGAATTTATTTTTCAAATGATCGTGATGATTTACATTTAAAATGGATTACGTTTTGAGGTTCATATCGAGGGACCATCTATTAGTTTAATATTATAGATAGCTCATCCCGGTGTGGGCGAACCTTAGTAGGTTCTAAATGTAATACATCTTGATGTTTCACTCTGATAATCGCTACTTTGCGTTTTCGATGCCACAGATGAGTGACCAATTCTATCAGGCGCCTGTCTGAACGAATTTCTTGTGGGAGGTTTCGCATAGTTTCTTTTTCGATCAAAGTGCATCGTTTAGAACAGTGGTTCTCAACCTTTTTTTTTTTGCCCGCATCCCTTAAAAACCATAAAATGTCCTCGCAACCCTCACAATAACAGTTAATCAATTTAGAACTAAAAGTAATCGCAACCGAAAGAATTTTTTGTAACTGTTTTCATTATCATAAAACTGACCATTTGGAAAAGAAAACGTAGTGCAAAAAATAACTGCTGCATTAACTCACACTAAATTTACACGAAATCTTTTTAAAAATGCAAACTTTAAAGTCCACCTTCACCTACTTTACAAACATGCTAAACCTCACCCTCGCCAACATTAACGTATGAAAAATGAAATGTTATCTCGCATCCCCAGCAACACACTATCTTGCATCCCAGGTTTAGAAGTGTGGCACCTGCCTGCGCTTTTCAAAATTTCATGTTCCCAAAACAAACAATTGCTATAGCATAATATAAATTAGGATGACAAATTTTCTGGAATATCAGAATTTCTAACATCATAGCGTATAAGAACATGCTATCCGAGTTCAGAATTAAGGATGCGAAATATCACTTTAAAAATTGCTTTGAAAGGTAGCTAGGTCAAGTTATCGTTCGCATCAGGTGACTGACATGTTTTGTCGGACTTCGCGATTTTTCCACTTCACACTTTCTGAGTTATCAACCCTCATAAAGGCAACGTCCGATCTACTAAACAATCCGTCTGAAACTTTGCCTCAAAAAATGACTCCGAAATTATCGCTGCATCAATTGTTTTTTGCCTAAAGCATCAAAGGAGCCGTGTAGATGGTGCGCGACTATTCCATAGAATTTGTTATTTCAATTAATTCTCAAATGGGCTATTCCGAATGCAAAAGGATCATCATCTTGGAAGCTGCAGTCAAAAAATTTCGCGCATCAGAGTGCCTGAGATGGAAGAAATTTCGACGCAGCTGATCTCCACACTAACTTTTTTCCATTGCAAAATTCCACACGGTTTCGTATTTAGACCAAAAATTATGCACCTTTCTGAGTTGAAAAAGTGCACTTCTCTGAGTTCAATTTTTTTTTCCGAAGAAACTTATCTTCACTGCATTTCACATGCATCTGTTCGAACTGTTTCAGTCCCTCCATGCTTTCCCAATCGATGACCAATTTCGTATGCACACATATTTCAAATTCACTTTTCAGTCAAACTTAAAAGCATTGATGGATGCAAATATGTAGCAAATTTGGTCGTTATGCCAATACCTAAGCACTGGCCTTATTGCCTCAAAGTCACTTACACTGGTTAGTTCTAGTGATAGTTCGTGTAACTTCTTACTGAACGACTGCTGGGGAAGGGGAGCCGAGTTATTTGCTCCATGGGATCAATTATGGTACGGGACCAGAACGGAATGAAGTGAACACTCCTGTTCGATGAGTGTGCCGTAGCTGTAGGCATCGGCCGACGCCTCATCTACTGCAGCAGCTTGTTTCAAATGCGTTCTGATCCGGCCTTGTGCTGAAATAAAAACTGCACGATATCAGCAAGCGCTGCTCTTTAATTAGACAATTTATATTCATTTCATTCAATGAAAACTCGAGCAGCTTAATGAATTCGTGATGGGCGACTGACCACACATCAAAGTGATGAGAAATTAAACATTCTTCATGAAAATTTAGCATTTCTGATTAAAATGCTGTCACTGAATCGTTCTGATATGAAATTTGATTCTTTCAGGTGTTGATGTTTGGAGGGAATGTGATCGTGGTGGATACCCTGTGGTCTGTAAAAAAATCTTTAGTTATCACCCTTTGTCAATACCTCCGTTGGAAGAAACTGAGGATGCTATACAAGATCCCAACGTAAAATTACCACCATTAACACCCTCAGATAAAAAAACAACATGAACACATTCTGAAAGAACATAAACAGAATCAAGCGAG